TTTGTTCTATCTAATCAAGAAACGGCAATATGGTTTAAATGCGAGTTTGATAGAAAGGCAATCATGATAAAATATCTAATGATAGGCTTAGTTTCCTTTTATTAAAGATCAAACGTGATCAAGAATCATTTGTAAAACTATATGCCATAAAGTAATTAACAAAAAAAATCTGTACCATTTAACTGCAATTTTTCAATTAGATTTGTAATAAAAAGGAGGCTTCGTGGATCTACAATTAGAGATAAGACGACAATAAGTACCAAAATCACTCAATATAGCCAATGATTCACATCATTATTATTTAATAGTATAGTTTTTTTTTTTCGTAGTATAACTACTTATTATTTTAAACACAATTATTAAATTTCTTCGTATGTTAATTTGCGATGGTTCATATCGATAAATATTTGCGACAGATGAAATAAATTCTTAACACTTAAAGATCAAATATAGGGTCAGATACAGATCATTCTATGAAAAATAATTTAATGGATGTTAATTCAAACCTTCTTGGATTAGTTAGTATTCAATTTATGAGATCGGGTTTTAGAAAGTATTACTTGAATGAATAATGCATTGCTTGTATTCTAATTTTAACACCGAACTTTTTCTAAAACAAATATAAATTTCGGGCATTAAACCATTAAGTAACTATACTATTACACATTTAGGATTTGCACTTGAGAAATGAATATTTCTGTATGAGTTTCTTCAGGGGTGAACTTGTCTCCAGTTTTGACTTATTAACATGTGAGCTTCATTTCAAAATGAATGTCAAGAATTGTAACGATTTTGTAGTTAACTCAAAACTTATATTCTGATGGTGTATATTTACAGCTCTTCCAGTGGGGGTCGTCGCTTGATATGTTTGTGACGAATTAAGCTCTATTACAGTTTAGTACTTTTACCTGCTCTTGTATACTTGATGCCATGTTGTCGTAGGTGACCGAAAATTCTCATATTTACTATCAAATTATTATTTTTATAGCAAATTGGACCATGCGTCTGGGATCGAATGAATAGATTGTATGTAGTAGTTACGTAGTTCGCCATATAGCACATAACTGCTTTAAATTGTGTGAACTCCATCAATTAAGATTTAAATGTAGATTGTAAAATAGATTCAAAATTTCTTCGTGCAGGGTAAATCATTAAACTTTGTGAAGGGCGAAAATGTATGTTGTTATGACGTAGCATTCTATTTGCGTAATGTATTTACTGCTAAGTAAAATAGTTTTGTTTATTTAGTCTGAGTCTAATATGTATTTAAATTGGTAATGTCTTTTGAATCATTAAATACATAAAAATAACGGTCTGTATTTAAACCTAAAATTTCCACAATTAAATGCGCCTAAAGGCTGACCATTTTGCAATATCATATAGCTGTTCACTTCACCTGATAACAAATACACGACATAATAATATTTCTTTTGTTGATGTGTAACTACTTTAACCCGGACAAAATTGTTAGTTTTTAACCAATTAATATAAGTTGTTTATACTTTTTACCTAACAATAGAAAAATCTTATATTAGCTATTGATTCTCTACGTTAGCCAACATACCCTTTTATTATGTAAAAAACATAAGCAAGTAAAGTAGGCTGTTTGGAAGTCAATGAGATTGATAATCGCGTTGAGACATTATCAAAGGTGCTCTACAGCTGTTGCGAAGCTTTAAACAACGGACACAAGTCACATGGAGGTTCGTTATAACTGAAAAAAATAAAACACCAAAAAAATCTCATGGACTTCTAAACTTAAAAAGAACATTTATTCCGCCTGTATTTTAAATCATATAAAATATTACTTTTATGTTCAATAGATCTTTATTTTTGATCAGTACAGTGTACATATTGGTTATTACACCTTTTTCTTGACACTTTGTATGTGCATTTTACTGTGTTTCAATAAAAATAACTAGAAAAATAAGGTTTTTTTTATAAATTAAACTTTCTGCTCATTATAAAACATGTACCCAGTTGCGATAAACATTTATCGATTCTTAATTTTAGTTTGGTATTTGTAATGCTGATGATGATGCTTACGAAGAAGTTCGAAGAAGCCCTTATACCATGATGTGTGTGAAAATGGACGTAGTTATGCGAAAACGTTCCATTCCACAATGAACAAAATTTGAGAAAAAAACAATTTACTATTTCAGTGGTTACTTTTTTGCCCTAACTAGTATTGACAAATTATAAGGGTAAATTCGTAGTAAAATATGGTAATTACTAATCAAGTACAATTTTTTATTATATTTTCTTTAAAAAGATAGGTAATTAAGAAAAATGTTATTGGAACGTTTTTGCAAAACTACTTTTTGTATGAACCCTCATTTCTAATAATTTGGAAAAATGTTCCAAAAGTATATTTTATGTGTTTTTATGTTACATAAGTATAAAATAAATATGAAAATTACAAAGACAAATATTAGTTAATAATTTGTATATTCAAAAAGATCGGTCATATCTCAGTCAGATCAAGAAAAACAAAAAGTACGTACAGCATTAACAGAAGCGCTGTGACTAACTTGCATAATTCGAAATAATTTAATTAATAGGCAATATTTATCGTTTTATAAAATTAAAATAATTCATTTATGTCAAAAATAAAAAGGTACCCCACGTTTTGAATGGCTCATGCGTATCTTTTGCTATTTAGTTATAACGTTCGAAACATTACGTTTCTTGGGTTTAATATAATGATCCAAGATTATTGAATCGTTTATGCGTCACATTTGTTATTTATCTAAAACGTTCCAAACACATTGAAACATTGAAAACGTAAATTACATGGGTTTGCTTAAAGGTTTCAAGATTATTGAATCATTAACGAATAATCGTAGTAAATAAAAACGTTTCAGACGGATGAATACGTTATATTTTCAATGAAGTCATTTAATTGGTAAAAATTGTTTTCACATGCAGTGAAAATTATAAATAAAGAAATATTACAAGAGGACAGGAATGTTTTTGCTAGAATGATGTAAGGTGTCAAAAAAGGTGAACTAGTCATGTTAACTCCATTTCGTATTGACAGGTTTGGAACGTTTTCGCATAACTACGTCCAAATATTCATCGCAACAAATGTATGTATAGAAACATCACATGCATGAGCTGACCCTTTATTGTTATTTCAGTAATTGATTTTGTAATTTTAATGGTAGCAGAAAAGTAGAGCACATTATAGTTTTAATTAACCTTTTATCTGATGCATATATGCATTATATGCTCTTCTGTAATTTTCACATTTGGTTTGGGTGAAAAATAATTATAAAAGATATTTGCATTTTGGCCACTTGATAAAATACGTAATTACAAGGCTAACAACAATAAACAACTGCAATAAATATTTGATTGTAAAGATATGCTGAAATTAATTTTACGACTTTTTTGATTTTTATATGATTCTTTGGTATTAAAAATAATAAAAGGGGCAGATTTGAATTTGCACAACATATACATGAACAATATATCCATAACACATTTGGGGTCCTTTTGATATGTGTCCCACATGGCTTGTATAAAATTTATCTGATATGGTAAATGAGCCCCAGAAATTGGTTTGGTGATACATTTTAACATATAAAATATTTAATAATGATGAATGTATGCAAATATAAGTACCATTAAATAAAACAAAACTTTTAATAATAAATTTTATTTCATGTAAATAGAGGAATATTTTTAATTTAAGGAAAGCTAAGCATCTTATAAAAATATTATTGTATACTTTAAATCTGGACATAACTCATGTGGGCAAATGATTGTCTTATTATTCACGAATATGAACACTGTATTGAATTTACAATGGCGCTAACTCAATCCAACAAAATGTTAATATATAATTCTTTTATGTAGTAGTAATTGATTATAAACAAGACCCTTAAGTCAACATCATACATGTCTCTCATCAGTTTTATCATATTCATTGTATCATACTTATCATTGTTATCATACGCACAGCAATAATTTAATTAAACAATGTCTTGGAATGCAATGTTAAGACATAAGGGTTGAAATGTAGTAGTTGTCACAGTATTAGGCAAATATTAGTTGTCCAGCAGTCTAGTTAAATACTTCTTCAGATACCAACCTCAAATTATCTTATTCATGTATCAGAATTTATCATAAAAGTATATACTGTTATGTACCGTATTTTTGACAACTAAAACTTTTCTAATAATAAATTAATTTTGATACAAATATTTTTTATTGCGCATTTCTTTTAATGCAAAACGATATCTAGCACAGGATATAACGTATAAACTACTGAAACGCTGAAGCAATGCTTAAGTACCTACTTAAAGAATTAACCATAATATGTTGTAGTAACCAAATAAGACCCGAAACACAATAATCTAAAGCATCGTTGATAATTATTGTGGGGTTTATGAATGCTGGTCCAATATATCTTAATTAGCCCTTCAAATATAAAGGGTGAAAATGCATTGATTTTACAAGGATAACAATGTTACGGTACGTAGTTGGAATCGATAGTATATGAGACGAACAAGATATTCGACTGTTACTAAAACGATAATGCAATCAAACAATTCTAACAAATATTTTTACGCATCGTCTTAAGAGAATCTCCGATACGCGTGCCTGATTTCCACTCGGCTATTACGATATTGTATGAATGTTACGAGCGGCAAAAAAAAATACCAGACGTTTTACTGTGTCTGTGTGTGTGGCACGGGCAAAACTTAAATGCGATTCCGAACCTCGTTCTACACCTTACGACTCATGGAGATTGTCGCCGTCTCGCTCACTCTCTCTCTCGCCCCCCACTCTCTTGCTTTGTTGGACAGTTGTGAACAACGTCGTTATCGGGTTCCGTGGACATGAGCTCTGCGGGTGTCGGGTGGTATCGCGATTCTCGCGGTCGACGGTGCATAACGGGCAGCAGTCGGGCGCATTCCAGTCCTGCTCAGGTGCGGGTCGCGTGCGTCGAGTAACAGTCGGACGGCTTGTGCGGTGCGGGCGCGTCCGCATTAGGGCAGCGGCTTGTTCTCGGGGATGGTGGGCGAGGTGGCGCCGCTGGCGCCGCGGCTCGCGTCGCGCAGCGCCTCGTCGAAGCTCTGCGTGGAGTTCGAGCGGGAGGCCACCTTGCCCTGCGGACCGACGAACTGAACTCACAGCGATCATATAAAACTACCTGAAGCTACCTCGCTTTGTTTTTTTTTTCATGTGGAGTTGCGGAATAAAAATAACATTAGAACACTGTTGCGCAAACTATCAATCAATCGGCTAGTTTTTGAGTTTTGTGGACACAAACTTATGGAAGCTAAATTTTTATATTATAAAGATTATTTTGAATTATCCAATAGTTTATATAGGATGTACAAAACGAAAACAAATCAATTTGTGTTTTTAAACTTTGAAAACTGCAATTTGAAGATGACTATGCGCGCGTATATGAAACATTGATTTTATATAAAAAAACTTCGATTTGATTTTGACTGATCTATTCTTTACAAAATCGCACGTTGTTAATGAGAATTAACTGGACAATACATTTGAATCGGCTTGTGTGTCGGCGTTGTTGCAGCCGAAAAACCTATAGTGGCCGGCAAGACATGTAAATCCATTCCGCAAGTTTTAATTCTACGTAGCATCGTAGGGGAATATGGAATATTGTTCGCAAAAGATAACACGATTGGTTACACACGCATGGACTAGCATACACTATAGCTCTATGCAGCGTTTTGCTCAAGTAGTTTGCGTTCACTAATTACTGGGTACGTCCTGGAGAACGCGTGGTGGCGGTGGTGATTCCACGAAGTTGCATCTCATAGCTTGCCGAGTGGGATGTACCTTCGCCCGATGCCTACCTTCACATTCTCGTACGCGGAGCCGACGCGCTCTTCGATGGAGCGGAACGACTCGGAGTTGCGCATCTGGCCCAGCTTGCTGGACACGCCGGCCGTGATCCCGCCAAAGATCGACGTGGTCTTCTCCGCAGTGGACTTTATCACAGATTCAGTTTTTTGGTATCTGCAGGCGAGACGGCGTTAATATTAATAGAAATAGAGTAATAGAGTAAAAAATATCATTATGAATACCGCGTTTATGTTTAAATGACACGCGTTCGTTGTATTCAATTAAAGGAATTTGTTCACAAAGCATTTTGTTCGCGTAGTTAAGTAGGGAAATTATTTATGTACATCGTAATTATACACTTTTAAGGGTCTTTTCTATATTGATCAACGATGTGAATAATATTGATGTGCATAACATTATATTTAATTTGTTGGTATATAAGTAAGTGCTAGAGGTGATTGTGATGTTCACAAGGTTTTTTATTATAGGATTGAATACATGGAAAAATCACTTTCTTACATTCTGCTCAGTACATGGAGGCGAGACTCGTTATCTTTACGGTATGGAACTAAAGGAGCTCTTGGATATTTGGGTAACATTAGATTTGTTGCAGTTTGTAATCCAGTTAGTATCAAACGTTTGCGAGCTTGTTTGTCCTTTAAAGTAACTATTAATGCTAGTTGATAATATTGTGTTTTTCAAAATACACATATTGGTAATTCTACCTACTCAAATTTATGAATTATGAACGTACGTTAAATATTAATTTATACAGTATAAGAAGTTTTTACATATTATACGTAAATAAATCTAATTCTAAACATTTATATTCACCATTTAAAACAAATATAAACGTATCTTAATTTTTTATTTTAAAATTAATTTTCTTTTTCTTCAATATATTCTACTCACATATTAGAACACAATCAATAATGTTATTAAAAGCAAGCTTAGTATATAAAATAGTCGTAATATAATAGATCAAAGAAAATGTGGCATCATCAATAACTGATAAATAAAGATAATCCAATTGACCTACTTCACTGCTTAAAAATTATCTAACGCACAAAACATAGTAGGGTTCCGAATAATTATTTACATTATTGTTATTTACTGTTAAATTAAGACGATATAAAATGTTATTTTAATTTAATAGAAATAAAATATATTTTGCATACCTATTGAATATCACGCTGACTTTACATTTTGAACGTTGTCATTACGTATAGAATAAAGAATAGTCAATTTTTCAGTAGTATCTTGTTACTACATTAGTCGATAGAAGGTTAAAAATTTTTGTATAAAAAGTGAGAAAACAACAAAAGGTTCTCAAAGTATTTCGAGCGGTGCAAAGGTCGGTATATGTCAAGAATAAAACGCTTTTCTATCAAAATAATCAAATAAAATTTATTACTCACGGAAGTTTTAATTAAAACAAGACCGTTAGAAAAAAAACACTTCGAAATACGTCGACCCCATTTCGCAGATTCGAGCCGGCGCCACTCAAAAACTATTACGTCAGCACATTCAGAAGTAAAAGCAAAACGTTCGTGCTTAATCGGCGTCAAATTCGCATAATAGTTATAGCGCAACAGAGGCTCTTTAGAACTGTGAAATTAATGTTACCGTTACTTCTACGTACTATCCGAGGCCACATCTTCTATTACACTACGTGTTAGCCAACCACCACCGATATATAACAGACAAGGGAGAAAAGAGAAGCATTTTCTTTTGGGTTAGAACAGGTTTGGAGAACGGCTATATCTCTATACAGGGTGGCTTTTCTAAGTGTATCCATTTTTTTATTAAATTCTAGACATAAATAATGTTTCACGGTGGTAGGGCCACGCAGCAGCCTTGGCTGATGCACGAATGGGTAGGCCCGTCCGGGTAAGTACCACGACCTCACAGAAGACCAGCGTAAAGTGGAAGTATGACAAATACTTTCGCGTTTCGTCTGGTGAGTGAGGTAGCCGGAGCCCAATTTTCAAAAGGTTGTCAACGCATCTGTAATCCTAGGGTGTAGCAGATGTCCATGGGCGGCGGTATTCACTTAACATCAGGTGAACCGTCTGCTCGTTTGACAACTTTTCGCATAAAAAAAAAGTTATACAAAAAATAATAAATATTTAAAATCACTCGTAAGTAATTAATTACATTCATTTGAACTTATCTCAAAAAGTGCGTGATTTATACGCAACTCATTTATTTTACGCCCGATCATTCATAACTAACATAGCACACAAGTTCGTGCACAGTAAAATTTAGGTATTTATGAATGACTACCGCATTGTCAACACGTTCTGTTTTTTAGGGAATAGAATGGCATTTTTTTTGTAAAAAAAAAGCTTTGTTTTTTATTTCAATAAACGATTATACTACCGAGTCTGAACCTCTGTGTAAATTTGGGCACTTCTCAAAAAATCTCCCTGTATAACGACTATACACTACGAGTGTTAAAAATTATGATTCGAAAATAAAACACAACTAATGTTACTTATATAGCATGTATGGTCGGTATGTGTATACTCTGTTGTGTACAAAAAGCGGATGTATGTTTCAGGCTTACTTACATTGGTGCTTCGGTCACAGCCTGTGTTATCGCAGCGACACGCGTTTCTATCGTTTGGTAGCTGTTGTGCAACAAACCAAATGAGAGATCAAATGATACGAACCAAACGTAACGCCAACCCTCTGTACCGAGAAGCGCAAGCAAAATAATACAGCATATAGAAAATATAATTCTAATCCATTCTATCTCTAGGGAGCGTTCTAACCCGCGAGAAATATTCATTCACCTAATCAGCTGCGCGTAAATGGTAACATGTGCGTGACATAAAAAATAACTTACACCTGGCTCTCCTTTACGTTTTTCAAACCCTGATTCACGTCCTCGGTGATCTCCTTCCACACTGTTATGCCAAGTTTCCTCTTCAGCTCGGAGCTCTGGCGAATCTGTAACAGCAAAAAAATATATTATGCTAAATAGGTGCCTACTAGATATCTGGCACTACAGCATAATATTATCTCTTGCGGCTGAAACGAAACCTTTATTGTGGTAGGCCTCTACCGTTGAATGAAACAGCTTCAACTGATGGGAAAGTGTCACGGCCCCACAGAAGACCAATGTGAAGTAGAAGTATGATACTTTTGCGTTTCCTCTGGTGAATGGGACCCGTTTTGAAAGTTATCGCATTTGCAAATCACTAACATCAGCTAAACCGCGTGTTCGCTTAGCGGCTTTTCATGAAAAAAAAAAAGCTGCTAAAGTATATACAGCGTGTCGTTACCATCGCGACAATAAATGAACACACGTCTAACGCTACTTGCCAATAATCATAAAAAATATTAACTTTAAACAAAATCCATAATTAAAAAAAAATATTTTTCAAACAAACTAATTAAGTAAAAAAGAAACAAAATTTGTAACATCCTATACAACTCGCGCCACAGCGTCGTATTACAAGCCTCTCCTTCTAACAGTATGTTTTGTCTCTTTTAAATTCATTCAACCCATTCATATGCTTAGTGACCTTTACAAATAAACTTTACGGTACACTTTTATAGGTAAGGGTGTTCTAAAATTCTTTGTTTTGGATAATTTAATAACTCTGTAAATATTGATGTTTAAAGAATTTAAATGTTTAATACAACTTTAAAAAGTTATCCCCTATATGTGTGTTCATTTATTGTCGCGATGGTAACGACACGCTGTATATTCTAAAACTGTAAAATATAGAATCTTTTATCCAAAATAAATGCTCTAATAAATGATATTATTACTTTTAGTCTCCGGTCACACTTTCTACAATCTACACTTTTTTTCAACCTTTTAGATATTTTTCAAAATATTATCCACTTGACGAGGGTCTTCTGTGAGGTCGGGGTACTTACCCGAACGAGCCTGCTCATTCGTGCAACAGCCGAGGTTGCTGAGTGGCCTTACCACAGTTGAATTTGTAGAAAACATTACAAGTATTGCTTTATTGGTAAATTCAAAAATGGGAAAACATTTTTTTTTAAGTCAAACCAAACTGTGGTTGTTCAAAATCTTTTAAATCTTCCCTAATTCGATTTTATTACTTTTAATTGAATTAGCGTCCGAATATAAGTGAAATAATCCTTGCTCGTGGCACTAAGCTGCGCCCATTAAAAAACTACAGGTACACATAAAGAGGTCCTAAAATCACCGATTACATTGTATTAAAGTATCGGACCAATTTTGAGATGTCCCCATTCCGTTTTACTGTAAACTAACTGACCAGCCTCATATTTCAGCCCCTCAGATTTCGCAATCATAAAACTTCTAGTTCATGCTGCATGTCAATCATCAATCTCGTCATTTGTTTATTTTCTCAAGGGGTGTGATAATCGAGCAGGCGGTTCCCTTGATAAGTCAAAACACTATCGCCCCTAGACATCAACCACATCCGTTGCAACTGCGACACACAACCAAAAGAGATCCGGTCACCGACTTGCAACAACTAAATGCAAAAGTATATTAAACGATTCTTCTTGACGGCGTTCTTGCTGTGAGACCAAGATAGTTCAGTTGAAAAATAATTTCGTCATAATCGTATTATATATAAAAAACGACAATTCCCTCAATCAAGAGTAATTTTCCAGTATTCCATCGATCGAAAAAGTACTTTTTATTCTTTTACTTTTAGTTCCAAAGGTTAGTACCAACGCGTTCTAAAACAAGTTTAAGCTCTTAAGGCGCTGTACGTATTACAAAAAGGCTTTTCAAAGGTCTTTTTTGAAAAAAAAAAATATACATTTTAAAGTAGCAAACAAATTATGTTAAATCTTGATCTTACATCTGAACGGGCCCTTGTTTTCAAAGTCGATAAATTTTCTCGACACAAAAAGAATTATGATTTGAATACTATAGATTATAAGTAAACAAGAGTTATATAATAAAATTAATATCAGTAATGTAAAATATTTGAATATCCGCGACTGATGGATTCACGATTGAAATGAGACATTCGTTCCTTTACATTTAACCTATTAACACGGTACCGGTGCAGTAGAGTGGAGTACCTTGCTCTGAAGCACGGTGCGGAGTGTCGCTATCTCGTCCTCTACGCGTGCCAGCTCGCGGCTCCACTCGGCCCGCAACTGCTCCGCCTGCTCGGGAGTGAGGCCGGCGAGCTCGTCGGGCGTGTGGGCGTCGCCGCCCGCCGCGCCTGGCATCGCTTCCTCTGCTGTAAACCAACTCGTCGTCAATACTATTAGGAGCGGGGCCTACTATTAGGAGATCGTAACAGGTATCTCGAGATGGCAGACTGTATCTGTTACGGAAAAACTTAAATTACAATTCCTCTTCCACACAAATTGCTCCTTAACACGCTGTCACACAGTTAGAAAGAGATAAAAACCGTTACACCTCAGTTGATACCGTTATCCCAGTTGATACTGAACACTGTAACTGTCACCAGCTCTTTCTTTTTCTTGAATCGGTCTTATCGATTTGTTAGAAAGAGAAGCACGGACGTTATATGAAATAACAGACTGTTATTTTGTAACAGGTATTTGTAACAGTGACAGGATTTAACCTAGTATAGCTCATTCCTAAATACTATAAGGGGAAATATTTCTCAATGGTCTCTATCGTTATGTTAACCGTTAATCTGATCTACATCTACATCACTCACCAGACGGAACGCGAAAGTATAATTCTTCTATGTAGCTGTGGTAGTTCCCGGACGAGGCTACCTATTCGCGCAATTGCCAAAAGTGCTGTAAGGCAGATGTGAGAATAAGTGGGCTCGCCCGGGAAATTTTGTTTCACTAAGCGATTGACGCCTCATTTGGCGACTGCACATCTTTGACGTATATTCGTTAAAAGAAAACTGGCAGATTGGTACCGAATAATCACTAATAAAACATCAATGTAAGCATATTTTTGTTGACATTATTGAAAAATAAAAAAAAGGCATGGTATTGCGCGTGCTTGAACTATTTCAATATATTATAATAGTGGTTTCAAAGTCAGTTTCTTTATTCAATACGAAGGGCACACTAAAATGATCGGGAATAGAATATTTCGGATTGAGTTTACAATAAAACCTTTTTTAAAATTTGAATACTGGCCTATTAGAATCTTAATGGCATTCAAAAAATTAAAAAAACTATGTCTCGGCGAACTTGTTTCGATTTATGATGTTGAAGCACCGAGTCATACGACAATATACCGCTGGTATGCCGAGTTCAAACGCGGTCGTGTCGCTCAGCACTGTTTCTTCTGCAGGTCGACCAAGAACAGCGGTCACGCCTGAAAACATCGCAGCGATATATTATATTAGATGACCGTCATGTAACATACGAGCAGATTGAGCTGTTATCAGTATCGGAATGACTGCAATTCACTCGATATTACATTATGAGCTGTGTGTAAGAAAGCTAGTTTCTCGGCTAGCGGCTCGTGTAGATTGGTGCGGGAATACTCTGCAACGCTTCAACGGAGGGAAGTCAAATGCCTTTTATAATATCGTCTCAGGTGACGAATCATGGATTTATTCATACGAACCTGAAAGAAAACATCCGTCAGCAGTTTGGGTCTTCGAAGAAGAGGTCAAACCAACGAAAGTGGTTCGCTCCCGCAGCGTGTCAAAGAAAATGGTCGCTACGTTTGCCTCGAAAAAGGGACATGTTGCTACAATTCCTTTACAGGAACGCAGAACGGTTACCGCTGAATGGTATATCACGGTTCGTTTGCCAGAAATGATAGCCGAACTCCGAAAAAATAACCCGAAACGTCGCATCATCTTATATCACGATAATGCGCCATACGGCTCGAAAGACAAATGATTTTTTGAAGCAGGAAAACGTTAAGCTGATGAGCTATCCTCCGTACAGTCTTGACCCGAGCCCCTGAAACGATTTCTTTACATTCCCTAGAATGAAAGATTTATTACGCGGTCAACAGTTTGAAGACCCTGAAGCAGCTGTGGAAGCGTACAAATCAGCCATTTTGCCAACATCAACTTCAGACTGGAATCACTGTTTTAATGATTGGTTTGCACGAATGGAAAACTTCGAAAAACAATAAAATACAATTTAGCTATTCCGTGCATGTGGTTTTTCTTATTCCCGATCATTTCAGTGTGCCCCTCGTATAGGCTTAATGTTCTTATCGATACACTAAACTAGACGTGACCAGAGAGGAACCGGCAAGAAACTTTGGAGTCTTGTTATTGGTTCAGCTTTTAAAAAATAGTTTACACTCAGTTGTTTGTGGATTGGTGGACCGAGGAACGACTTTCAGGTTTTAGCCAGTCTAAGCCTCGGTACCTCCAGTGTCACCAAGGTCCCCATATATGATGTTCTCGAGTATGTACAGCGACGGGAGCGTTATGAGTTTATTTGCTGTGAAAATAAGCATAATAAGCAAATTTAGCCGCCGCCTCGTTAGTTAACTGGCTGATCTTACGTATGACAAAGATGGCAGAGTTCAATTTCTTAGCTAACTTGTCAACATGAACTCCTCATTGCAACATGGAGTCAATGCATATTCCAAGAAGTGCCGTTGAATACTCAAAGGTAGGGATTTTATCATCAATATAGATTCCAGGCTGGTGAGACAAGTTTCATAAAATAAATCTGATACATTTTGTTTTAGTGGATTTCAAAAGTAAAGTATTTTATTTGGTTGTTCTAGCTCCTTTTAACTCTAAACAGTAGTGAAGTGTTATCTGAAAACAAAACGATTTGAGACAGATTTTCCACCACACATGGCAAATCATTAATATAAACTAAAAGGAGAAATGAGTCCACGATCAATTCCGGAGGACCCCGATGACAATATACCATGTATGATAACGGTTTAAAGCGATCAATATTTGTGGATGTTGTATTTTTAATTTCTAAGTGAAACTTATTAAAAGTTTTTAGTTAGAAATTCCATTACATTACTTCTTTAAAGAATGTAATCGTCGTGGGTTTGCTACCTTTCTTTTATTGCGAACCATTTGGTTTTCCTAGATATTGGATGTTGGAGCATTATGTGGTTTAATTAATAAAAATATTTATATTTCTTAAATTTTCATAAAAAGTATTGCATATGACGATTCAACAAAAAATACTTTTTTATTTCGTAAAATTTTTGTCCTATGGAAATGTCCGATGTAAGTATTGCTGTAATAAAAATTATGCTCATTTAACCTTGTTTTTGCTCGAATAATATTCCTTTTAATCGCTAAAGCTATTAACAGGTTGTTATAGTCAAAAGATAAACAATATGAATACCGATAGCTAGTTGCAACAATTGATAACACAATAAAATAAAACTGTTACATTCTTATGAACTTTAACGAGCACCGCTTAACTGCATTTTATTTATTTAAAACACGTTGTTTAAAATCCTTTATTGTTGCTATCCCACAAAAATTGGTTAAAAAACATACATGATAAAATTGGTTGGTTAAATAAAATTCGCGTAAATACAATAACTCATTAGGTATATTTCTTAAAAAGGAAAGGAAAACTAAATCTATTAAGCAAGCACTAGATTATACAGCGTGTCGTTACCATCGCGACAATAAATGAACACACATATAGGGGATAACTTTTTAAAGTTGTATTAAACATTTAAATTATTTAAACATCAATATTTACACAGTTATTAAATTTTCGAAAACAAAGAATTTTAGAACACTCTTACCTATAAAAGCGTAACGTAAAGTTCATTTGTAAAGGTCACAAAGCATATGAATGGGTTGAATGAATTTAAAAGAGGTAAAACATACTGTTAGAAGGAGAGGCTTGTAATACGACGCTGTGGCGCGAGTTGTATAGGTTGTTACAAATTTTGTTTCTTTTTTACTTAATTAGTTTGTTTGAAAAATATATTTTTTTTTATTATGGATTTTGTTTAACGTTAATATTTTTTTATGAATATTGGCAAGTAGCGTTAGACGTGTGTTCATTTATTGTCACGATGGTAACGACACGCTGTATACACTTAAATTGTAATCTTTCAAGCCGTTAGTAATGAGACACAAAATAGTAATTTGTTTGTCATAGGAGAGCCGAAGATAAGACAAATAAAACCGTTTAAAAACTTTTAAGTTAAACGGTTTTATTTTATGGTTTTTTTGTTCTAATGTTAATTTTTTTTGTTAATATTGTATTGTCATCTAAATTAAATGTGTGTACCAAATTTCAGATCAATCTGACAACAGCAAGGTGCTTAAATTTCAATTTCTAATTTTGACCCAAACAAACAAATTCCGTACGGGTCGAGCTAAATAAAACCGTTTAATTAACTCAATTGCATTTATGTATCAATAAACTAAAAACATCAATAACTGCTTGACTAATTGTTACTCACACTGCCAGAGACATAACACTTTGAACAATCACTACATTGAGTAATAACAATCAAATGATTTAAAAGAAAACTGAACTAGTGTTCAGATTACATAATTTCTTAATAGAAAAAAATAAAAATAAAGGGATACATATTAATAATTACATTTAATTGACTGTCATTAAATTGCCATTATTTTATTACATAGTCTTCGCGCGTTAGCATGACATTGGGCGATCATTCGATTGCTACTGCGTACTCCAATTTCCAAGGATAATATTAATCGCGTCCCTTAATAGCTGTCGCCAAACGTCACAAACCTTGCGAATAATACTTGTAACGCGCGCACCTTCAACTAATCTTAATAAATAAAAATGAATGTTGCTAAGCGCATAACTCAAGAATGGACGAATTCGGCTAATTTATTTTTTTGTACGTTCCATAAGGTCCACGGAAGGTTATAATACTGTTAAAAAAATAAAAAACGAAGTCTGTCCGGGCAGCTAGTACTACAAATTAAAAATATATATTTTTTTTTAATGTGAGAAGGTGACAAGCGAGCTGGCGGTTCCCCTGATGTTAAGTGATAACCGACATGGACATTTGCAGCACCCCTAGGGTTGCAGATGCGTTGTCTTCCTATAAGAAAGTGCGCCCCGGCTACCTCACTCACCAGACGAAACGCAGAAGTATGACACTTCCACTTCACGCCGGTCTGTGAGGTTGTGGTATTTATCCTACCATATCGGAAAAGTACCGAAGAAATAAGATGCGTGGCCCTACCACAAAATGAATTTTCTCATATACACCGTGTCTTTACAATCGCGACAATAAAGGAACACACATAGAGAGGATAACTTTTTTAAATTATATTAAACATTTACATTCTTTAAA